AATATATGAACGGAAGGGAAAAAATAAAAATGTGTACTTATATTATGATAATATAATATAGGTACTATGTATATACGATATACCTATAGTTTATAAAGCTAGTATATTATGCGTATACCGGTATTATCGCATAAATCTCCTCAACTCCGTAATATAATGATACTGGCGGTGATGGTTAACAATATTATTATTTAGTTTGTGGGAGGGGGGATGGGTGGTGGTCCCGATTATATGTGTAYATGCGGTAACGGGTAGTGTCAGCGTTATACCTGCGTATAATATTGGAAACCAATATACTTAATATAGAGTAGAAAAATAGAAAATTAGCAGGGGTGAAAAAAACGATTCACGCAATGTTCGAGACATTTTTGTCGGTCAAACGAAACACGGTATCTACATTATATATTAGCACAACTATTATATACTATACTACAATATATTATAAATTTATTTTTATTTGTTTATCATGGCCCGTGGCAGCATTGTATGACTTGATGATTAATATTTTTCTTTTGCAAAATTAACGATGAAAGCCGAAAAGGTTAAAAGAAACTAAGACCTTCGGTCGAATTCACATAGTAGTATTTTTTTAGTCAACCGGTGAAGTAAATTAGCATAAACGAAAAAAAATCCATACTATAAAAATAACACAATTAGTCCAATTTAAACCATGCTTATACATTTTGTTCTATTAAAACTGCAACTTAGCAATCATCAAAAAATCACCATCAGTTCATACTAAAAATGCAGAACAAAGTATCACAAGTAAAAATATTATGTGATTTGAATATACACTAACKAGTGAATATTCATCTAATCAATAATATTTTAACCTTAAATAATTATAAATTAAAATGTAATAAAGATTAAATTTTATTAAAGATTGTGCATTCGTTTCTACATAAGTGACCATGAAAATAAAATTGATACTAACGAAGATCAAACCGTATTTTAATTTGAAATACTTTTTTTCACGTTTAAAATTTCTTGGAATTTAAAATAATTCTTATATAATTACTTTTTGTTAAAAAGAATATTTAGACCTTTTATATTCTTCAATTCTACTAACATTAATAAATAAGTAACAAGTATTTTAAAGACCACTTTAAATAAACTGATTGTGATAACAYAAAAACACTTTAATACAAATAATTTTAAATTTTAAGTACATACTACGTTGTAAAATAACTGTTGATAATAACATAACAGAATGGAATAACTACGAGAATAAATATATGAATTTAATATTTTATAAGAAAAGAAAACGGTTATATGATCAAAATAATGAAAAATTCAGACTACCTATGCCATACTATTTTAAATTCCATGTAAAATTACTTTATAAGAGAAACTGATTCAAAAACTGTATATCAGATGACAAGTAAATAAAACATCATTCAGGGCAAGCATATTTTTTAAATAAAGTGTCATAATCTTTATATAACAAGATTTATATTGGGTGTCAAAAATAAATAAAGGTTTATTTATATTTTTTTAATACAAACTATCAATATACATGGGTTGATTGCAATTCTATATGGCAAAAGTAAAGCTGATATTAAAAAAAAAATTATTTTGAAATGAATTGGTCATCACAGTATTGTATGACAAATTGAAAATATTTGGAACCATTAATAAATCGTTATATCATAAAATCGAATGTCAGCCGTCGGTGTATTCAAAAGTTGTAAAACTGTTGTTAGTACTGATTCTCCCAACAGCAATGCCTTTTAACATAACTCTAAAAACTAATGTGAAATATGAAAAATAACCTTTTTAAAATACAATCTGCTTTCAATTTTCCATCAACATAGACGCTGCATCCTGCATCCTGAAACTTTTTGTGCTATGTAACTGTTCCAAAATGTATTATAACCCAGACATTTGTAAAACCAATAGTTTTATCGTTCCATTTAGAATTTAAAAGAAAAATAAGTATAGACAGGATTCAGTGACCGAATAATATAATTCGAGCGTGGCTTACTTAAAACTGGTCGAGATTTTATATAAACCAAGTGTGTAGAAAATTTCACAATGTTTTTGAAGTTGAAAAATAAATCCATGTTTTATATCTTTATTTTACATAACTGAATAACTAATAAAACAATTTAAAGATTTAAATAGTTAAATACCACTCTAAAGTATCAACTAGTACTTTAAAATTTAAAGGTAGGTACAGTTGCTTAGAAAAAATTTAAGTATTACAATRATATTTATGAAATATGTATATACACTACGTCACCGTGAAACCATTTTTAGATGTACACATTTGTAAAACCATAAGTTATTAAATAAATACTGATAAAAGTTGAACAATACAATCTTTTTTTTTTAAACAAATTAAAATTTAGARAAAAAAAAAAATATAAAACAGCCCTTGAGAAAAAACCTTCGTTATAATAGCTAAACGTATAAAATATATTTCCAAATATTATTTCCGAACATAGAGTCAAAATAAATTTAAATTTGTCAAAATATATTTGTTTTTACGTAAACATAATTGGTTTTTTTTGAAATTAATAACTCTGACCACCCTTTTATGCATATTCGAATAAAATATATAATACCAATACATCGTATGGTTGTATCTTTTTTTTCACGCTTTCATGTAATTACGTTAGTAATTTTAGTCATTATTTTWTTTTTTTTTATATTTTTACAAATCACTATGGGACATTGAGTTTTTCAACAATTCATTAGTGGATTATTTGTTAGTTTAATTAGTGCTTACTGAATTTATTCATGTGATTTCTTTCAATGTATAAAATGTAYGGTGATTAAAACAGATAACAAGTGCTGATGAAAAAAATAAAAATAAATAAGTTCAATTCATAGTATTAAATCATTGGCATTGATCACGCGTTTTTATTTACTTTTCATTAAAAATTTAATCAATAAACTACTTGAATATTGTTGATAAAACAATTTCAGAATATCAAAGATATTAATTTTGAAAATCAATAACCACACTATGTGCTATAAATCCATACTAAAAACTTTTGAATTTTTATTTAGATATAAATAGAAAGTATACACTTATAAAGAATTTTGAAAATAACAACTGTTGTGATCATATTACATTTTGATGAGCTTTTTTTAGCAATTTTACCTGAAAAGACATCAGACWAATTRTTTGTCTTATTTTTCATTTAAAATGTAAGATCAATCAGTTTTGAATATAGTGTAAAAAAAACTCTTACGTAGGTAGGTAATTGATGTATATATCAAATTGACTAAAAGTTTATTTTTCCAAGTCAGTGTGTTTTATTATAATATTATTATGTCGTTAACTGACTTGAAGTATAATAAATACTTCTTAAATGGAATTTCGGCATTTTTGGGRAAATTTACTGTAAAACAATTTTTTTGGAACAATWTTTTCTTCATTCATAAATAAGTATTTGTTTAAAGCCCTAAAATATAATACCACTATATAATAAAATTATGATATTATTAAAACAAATATCCGTAATGATGATACCGTTGAAATTTTAATTTTACTGAGAATAAGTGATAGCCAAACATACTAAACATAATTTTATTTGCTACTTTAATGGAACCATTATTTTGCATTTTGTTTCCAACTACCTGAACCCGTGCACTTTGTAGCCCTTACCTCTTTATTACTCTTACCTCTTTATGTCTCATTCTGTGTGTTAAAACAATTTCTTGTGATTATGATGTCAGTATATTTTTATACATATAAAAAGATAAAGGTTAAACTTTACTGGGTAATAATCTTACACCGATATTCAATTTAGTTTATCATATTGTAATTTTATWCATTATGTAGAKAAAAGTGTGGCAATTCCAGTATAATTGTATTATTTGGTCTTATCACTTGTCAACTTTGCCTATAGGTCTAATAGATCGCAATCAGTCTAGCCATTTAGAAACACAAAAAGGACAAACAGACAGAAATCCATCTTTATATACACGTATTTTCTAATATTCAATAGGTACTATGGTTGAATCATAACTCAACTCACAGCTTTAGTTTAAATCTAAGGCAATTTTAAGTCAGTCAAAAAGTATATTCTATATAATATTCTATATTTATTATAGTTATTTAGCTATTTATTTAATAATTTTTAATTTTTCAAAAACTTCCAAGCTTTTTAGAAAATTTATTTTTTTGAAATTCTCTAATTTTACCATATTTTWCAGGGATCTAGATAAAAACACATAAGGAATATATATATATATAAGTGTGAGGCGATGTACAATAATTGTGATTTAATATCCTGGCGTATTTATAACTTCAGTGAAATCTCTGTATTAAATTTTCACATCTCTATAATAAAACTTATGAAGAGGTATTTATGACATTAAGCTAATTCTCAATATATTACATAATACATACACAATATAATGTAATTCAATATTAAGGGTAATAAAATCGTTGTGATATGTGACTCGAAGTTTTTCTAGTAGACCGTTTACCTACATTAAAATATTAATACATGCATTTTGTGACAAATACCGTAGATTGAACGATGTTAATAGCTTATACTATTATATTATTGTCATAGTCAACAGTCAGCAGCTATGGACGACGATAATTAGATGCATATTATAATATTATTGCATATTATTYGCAGTCTCGCAGAGTGAAATAATTGACTTAATCATCAGCTGGGGTAGAATTCTCGGACGGTGAAAAACTCATCACTAAACTGAGTCCCCCGTCTAATGTTTCGCGGTTTTGACGTTTGTGAAATGTGCGGACGCCGTCGCATAAGATGTTATTTTACGTGTCAGGAGGCGTTTCGGGAATGTCAACTCCGTTTAATTCTGAGACACATTATCGTGTTTGTAACACAATATTTTCTTTGACGCGTAGGTATACCACGACCATAGTGCGCGACCATGCACAACCAAACCCACCCCTACTACCTGATAACACTTGACGTATTTTAACAATGCGTTAGTGTGTATCTTATTATCTAATACAACTACAAAATCGTAATAATATTATATACATTTGACTGTGGTTTCAGATATCATGGGTTCGCCGCAGGGACTGGCATATATTGACTTCGGGCATGTTCACGTATACAAACGATGAGAGGTTCACCGTGTTGCATGCTGAGGGCTCTGATGATTGGACACTGAAAATAAAATACGTGCAAAAAAGAGACAACGGCACGTACGAGTGTCAGGTGAGTGAAAAACGACTTGTTGATACATCTTAATATAATATTTAGCGTCTTCTTTGCTGCCGCATATACACACACACACATATATATGTATATTATTGTTATAATAATAATATCAKGTCTACCGCAGCCATTGAAGATGTGCTTTGTCATGATGGTGAAGTGGTAGAGTGGTGAAGGTGGTGAGAGGCCTGCCTAATAAATGTAACTTTATATTATTATTTTATTTTTTAACGCTATCGAAAAATCTACTGTATTGACGATATATGCGAAACAAATGTCTGAAGTATATATTTTATATGGCACGGTGTAGAATGTATTATTATTATGTGTAAATGCATATATGTATATGCATGTATAAAAACTAACATCATGAGGTTATTTTATTTGAAATTGGAATATAATATGTGTCTGGATAGCTCTTGAAACTTTATTTTTCTTTATATAAACAACGACAACTTTCTATCGTGTGATAAGTAAGCTAAACAAGTACAACATACTTTTCTAATTGTTGTTGTTTTTTTAACGATTTCACGGAGTTATGTTCGGTATTTTTTTTTAGTCTCATACTTTTACATTTAATGTCTTCTTTTAAAACTTTTAAACTTAAGTTATTTCTCAGAAAAATAATGTTCATAAACAATTGTATGAAATATATTAAAAAGTAAAAACAATATTAAACAAAAGACACAATTTCATTAGAATTTATTACAGGCTATTTTTGAAATGGAATTGATTCACAATTTCGTAAAAAAATTTTCAGTCTTTCAATCACGTTATAGGTGTTTAAAAATATAATTCGATAACATTCCATCTAATCTCTTTTTTTCTTCTTCTCTGTATTTTTTCATTGAAGCGACCTAAGGTCTTCGTCAATGCGTACTACAAGCAGATAGTAAGAACACCATGTGATTTATTTATCTATGTATATAATAGATATGCATATATTATCACTGTATTATACATTATACTACACCCCTTCTGCAAGAGGAGATATGTGCGGTCTTCACTTTTAGTAGAGTGGGACCTATTTGGAAACCGGATGATTTGCTATGCTATACACTACGCTTCATTACCAACTAAGAAGCAAAACCCAAAATA